CTTCTTGCTTCTTCAAGAGACAATATTCCCTGCTACTAGAGCATAGTAGCTAGATGTAGATCTTCTATTATCTATACTACTGGCCCAATTGACATCTGTATAAGCCTCTAGCTTCATGTGTCCATGCCTAGAGAAGAGAATACCCTTTCTTGGAGAGTTGGGGTTTCCTTTGAGTAACATAAAATCCGTTCTACAACAACCACATGTGTCTCTAGGGGCATGCTTAAACTGACTAATCACACACACAACATATGAAATGTGGGCGTGTCCTACAAAGATATAGTAACTTCCCCAAAGGTCTTTGGAACACTCCCTTGTCTACCAAGAGCTCACCATCACTGGCTGAAAGCTTATGGTTGGCTTTAATAGGTGAAGAGGTAGGTTTGGCACCATGTTTCCTAGTCTTAGTAAGAAGATCTAACACATACTTCCACTGGGAGATGAAGACACCATCCTTAGACCTGGCAACTTCAATTCCCAAGAAATATCTCAACACCCCTAAATCCTTAATTTCAAATTCTGAATTAAGGAAGTTCTTGAGTGCCTAAACTTCCTTTGTATCATTGTTTGTAACCATAATATCATCAATATAAACAATAAGGAAGGTAACGTGTGTACCTCTCCTCTTAACAAATAGGGTATGGTTAGATTGTGTCTGAGTGTAGCCAAACTCAACAAGAACAGCATGAAATCTGTCAAACCAAGCTTGAGGGGGTTTCTTGCGGCCATAAGGGTATTTCTTCAATTTGCACACCTTGCCCTGCATTTCCTTACCATACATGCCTAGGGGAGGGGCATATAAACCTCTTTAGTTAAGTCCCCATTTAAGAAGGCACTTTTAACATCAAACTGATTCTCATATTCTGCTCTGGTGGCTGCAAGCTGTTCCCCCACTAATTTTTCGTCACTGGGACTCTTTCTCAACCTTAGAAAAGGTTGCTACATTGGTGTTACCACCTCTCCCACTCCCATTCTTCTTACCATTATTGTTCGTGAATTTAGGAGGTATGATCTCTAGATGTAGCTTCCAATAGGTATCCTTTGTGTGGTTAGGTTTCTTGCAATACTCATACTACATCTTTCTTCTTAGTGGTAGTCCTTGGCTTCATACTAGCATTTGGCAAAGTGATCAATTGGGACTTTTGCAACCTGCACTTGTCTCCTACTCTCCTCACTACTAACCATAGCATAAGCTTGAGATAAGGTCACTTCATCCTTTGCTAGAATGTTTTGTTTGACAATATCATATTCGAGGTTGAATCTAGTAAGAAACTCAAAGACCTAATTCCTCTCCACTAACATTCTATGAGTCTCAACATCCTTAGTACACCCCTACTTAATAGTCTCCATCAGGTCAATCTCCTGCCAAAGAGATTTTAGCATAGAAAAGTAAATAGCTAAAGGCTTCTCCCCTTGTCTTAGATTATTCACATCATTCTTCAGTTTGTAAGCCGTAGCAACACTCATCTTTTGGAAATAAGTCTTTGTGACACTATCCCACCCCTCTTTTGCAGTATCAATCCACAAGTAATGCTGGCTGATATGAGGTTGCATGGAATTTACTAACCAATCTACAATTGTATAGTTTTCCTGCATCTACCTTTCATAGGTAGGGTCATCCTCCTTAGGTTGCTTCTTACTCCCAATGGTATGCCTCCATTTCTCTCTATTGCAAACATGGATCTTAATTGATTGAGATCATGTTAGATAATTAGTCCATTCTAACTTTTGTTGGGGTTTTTGCCCCAATAGAGTCTCCATAGACTCTCTTGGGCCAAACCCAAAATTTGTAGGTTTTTTCATCTCACCTCTAGTTTGCTCCATTGGCCAAATGGAAACAAATGAAAATAAAATTAGGGTGTTACTAGTCAAGACTCACAACCCGGGAGAAAAAGAGAAAGTCTAGTCGCTCCTAATAGAGGCTTTAGAAACCTCTCCAACTAGGATTGATCTTAAAGGTAATAAAAAACCTTCTATTATGGACTCAGGTACCGGTTCCTTATGCTAAAACTCTCTAGTTAGCTAGGGTTTTGGGAAACTTTCCAAGAACCTGCCTTGGGCCTCAAATGAACACTGCAATCTTCTCTAAAAACCTCCTCTAATTTGGCTGAATAATTGTTAATCAATCAACCAATCAACTCTCCATACGACCTATGTATGGGACTAAAAGAGAGAAAAAGGAATAAGGGTAGGAACCTTGCTTTAATACCAAGTTGTGAATCTCCCGTGTAAATCTAAAATTAAGCAGAAAAAGAAAGAGGAAGATGGAAGAGGGAAAGTATAGAAGAAAAAAACGGAAGAAAAGGAAGAAAGGGAAGAAGGATGGAAGTCAATCGAACATCTCTCTTTGGTCCCCTCGAATCATCTTTTGTACTTTGATTATAATGTGAATACAATTACATGAATACCCTTAGTAGGGTGGCCAACATTAAAAGCAATAAGAAAAGAAAGAATACAGGCCCATAACTAAGGTCCACTAATCAAAACATAAATCATATACAGAACTAAATAAAAAGAAAATAACTATGGCCCATTCGGCCCATCATCTGTACAATTATTGGTTTGGGGGTTAGATGTATATGATGTAAAGTTGCATCTTAATTGTATTGGGGGATTGTCTCTTTGCATTTTTGGTCATTGATACTATATGAATATACTGCTTGTATAGGGGGCTGCTGTCTTTATACAAATGCAATTACTTGAGGGCCTTCTCCTATGAAAAGCCTTAGAAGTGTTTATTTTCAGAGCAGAAGTCTGATCTTTGGGGGTGTGGGGCCAACCTAAATAGTCTTTGTTAGAAACACTGCTCAGTATTAATTAACTATTAAGGTGTCAGCAGCATTTTGGAAAAAAGAAACAGAGCAGCCTTGTAATTCAAGTGACCACCCCTACCGTGGAATTGGGCCTATAAACACCCCTTGTAGAAAAATAATTCAGGATATAGCAATTGTATTTTCATGAACCTTGGAACGTCCCTTAAAACGAAAATTCCAAGAGTGTCCAACAGAGGACCAGGATATGGATTGAATAGTGGGAATTATATTAAAACTGAAATTAGAGTGGAGGATATTTCAACATTGGCACAGAGTCCTCGCACCAGTGATCTTTGCAGAACTTTGCTCTATCTCTAAGTAGGTCATACCTGATTTTTAGCAGTCAATAGAATTCGCAAATTATTCACTATTTTGATTCATGGATATTTTTCTAGTTTGACAAATAAAGAATATAAGAGCCTTCTTTAGTTATTGTTTTTGAGATCTGAGATAAATAATTCTTCTCTGAAGATGAGTCTGCATTTGAAGTTTTGAACTTAATAAAGCTTAGTGAAAGTTGAAAGGATAGAAGATCCTACCCTACAGTGATTTAAAAGGCGTGCCTCAGGCGCGTCTAGGTGCATAGGCAAGGTGCATTTCAGGGTAAGTGCCTCGCCCAGGTCCTAGGCGCAGCTCTTTCAAAAGCCGCACGCCTGGTGTGCCTCAGCCTAGGTGTGCGCCTTTTGAAACTTTGACGCTTAAAAGGTGCGCCTCAAGCGTGTCTAGGTGCATAGGCAAGGCACATTTCAGGGTAAGTGCCTCGCCCAGGTCCTAGGCGCAGCCCTTTCAAAAGGCGAACACCTGGTGTGCCTCATCCCATGTGTGCGCCTTTTGAAACTTTGACACTCTTTTGTTTTTTTTTTTTTGTCTAGCGGCTGGGCCAGGGTCTCTGCCCCTGGACCCCCATGCCAAACCCCCCGAGACAAGCCCAAACAAGTCCACGTTCGAGAACCCCCCTATAGGTAATGTTGTTCATTCATTCATCCTAATAAAATGTCTTCTTAAAAAGCAATAAAAACTATAAAGTCATTGTTTTTTTGTGTTAGAACTAAGAATTTGAGACCTAACATGGACTTGTTTGGGCTTTCCTCGAGGGGTGTGGTACAAAGGCGGCTCGTAGAATCAAGAATGTAATATGTTTTACATCACATTAGCTACTTAAAGTAATGCAATTTAGAAAAAAAGAGATTGTGGGTTTTATATGCTTTAAAATGTTTTATATATTTGATTTTATTTTTAAATTCTCATTTGAATATGCTTTACATGTTATATTTATGTATTTTAGTATTAGATAATAGGTTTATTTAAAACATTTATTTTAAAATTAATGTTTATATTTTTATTAATATTATGTTTAATAATTTTTTGATTTTTTGCATTTTTTTTAGCCTTTCTTTTTATTTATTTATTTTTATTTTTGCACCTTGCTTAAAAAGGCACACGCCTCGCCTTGCGCCTTGCGCCCTAGGTGCAAATTGACCCCTGTGCTGTTTTTGCACCTTGCGCTTTTAAAATGCTGCTACCCTACCCAGAACAGTTTTTTACGTTACAACTTTGCCCGGTATAATTGGCCCCTATTTACCCCTTGCTTTGCTAGTGCATCTGCCATTCCATTAGCTGATCTTTGTACCCATTGAATACCCCTAGCCAGCCACCTAAGCTTCTTAAGTTCATTTCTATAGACCTACACTGCTTTTTTCACCATTCAACCACACAACTACAACCTGTGAGTCCCTTCAATAATTATCTTGTTCAGGTTTAAGTCCCTTTCCAACTGCGTTCGTTGACAAACAGCCAATAGTTCTGCCATTGTAGAGTCCCTCCACTTCCACAGGACCTGAGAACATTGCCTTTATTCTACCATCTTTATCTTTAAAGAGTCTTCCCACAGCAGAAGGTCCCGGGATTCCAAAACTGCACTCATCAAAATTAAACTTGATGTAGTCTTTATCTGGTGGTATCCATAAACTTTGAGTCACCTTTGGATGAAGATGCGGCCACTTGTCCCCACTTTCTCATTACATTATCAACTTCTCTAGAGACAAGCCGCGTGAATATTGTTTTTTGTTAGTATGTGGAGTGACTTTACATTATGTTCTCTGACTTTTATAACTAATGTTGGTTTAGGTTAATCGTTTGGGTTCATTTGTTGTTCTCTTCTATTCTTACAATCCCACTTTGTTGCAGGCAACATGTTTTCAACCACAAATTCAACAAGATGTGTTCATTGGTAGATGGAGGAAGGTGTGCATGCTGCGATCAGCAAGTGGGACAACACCACCTTTAAAAACATATTCAGATCTGCCAATATATTTTCAGAAAGGAGAACTTTCATTCGGTGTGGGTTTTGAACCTGCTTTTGCTGATGTAAGCTATGCTTTTACGGTGGCTCTCCGCAGGGCTAATCTAAGTGTTAGGAGTGTTGATTCTGATTTTAAGAATGCTAATGCTTCAGATACTTCACAAACTGCTACCACCAATCTTTCTGAAAGTCAGCCACATAAAAAGGAGCGTAGCTTACCATGGTGGGACGATGTAAGATACTATATGCATGGAAAAATCAGCTTATGCTTTTCTGAGACTAGATGGAATATTCTTGGGACAACAGACCCTTATGAAAAGCTTGACCGACTGCAAATTGTTTCCAATTATATGGAAATTCAACAGACAGATGGTCGTGTTAATGTTTCTGCTAAGGAGTTCAAAATTTTCTTGAGCAGTTTGGAGAGTTTAGTAAAGAATTGCAGTTTGAAACTTCCTACTGGTATATCTGGTGCTTTCCTTGAAGCCCCTTCTTTTAGTCTTGAAGTTACCATGGATTGGGAATGTGAGTCTGGCACACCACTTAATCATTATTTACATGCACTTCCTAATGAAGGGGAACCTCGTAAGAAAGTTTATGACCCATTTAGATCGACTTCTCTCTCTCTCCGGTGGAACTTCTCTCTTAGACCCTCTATTCCATCATATCAGAAGCAACCTTCATCCATTGCTAGAGCAGTTGGTTTGGTCCTAGACGGTGCTGTTTATGATTCTCTGTGCAAACCTGATGATGTCTCAATTGATGCACCAACTCTGAACATTGGTCCTCATGATCTATCCTGGGTTCTCAGATTCTGGAACATGAACTATATTCCTCCTCACAAGTTGCGTTCTTTTTCAAGATGGCCACGTTTTGGGATCCCAAGAGCTGCTAGATCAGGCAACTTGTCTCTAGACAAAGTGATGACAGAATTTATGCTCCGCGTAGATGCAATGCCAGCATGCATAAAACATGTTGCTTTAGAAGATGATGATCCTGCCAGTGGATTGACATTTAGAATGACAAAACTAAAATATGAACTTTGTTACAGTCGTGGTAGGCAAAAGTATACTTTTTATTGCAAAAGAGATCCTCTTGATCTTGTTTACCAGGGTCTTGACCTTCACATGCCCAAGGCATGCTTAAATAAAGAAGGTAGCATGTGTGCTGCAAAGGAAGTTCAAATGGCAAGGAGAAGTTCACAACCTGCACCAACTGATAGAGTTAGCAATGAAAAATGTAACTATTTGGGTGGTTGTACAGAGAAGCATCGTGATGATGGATTTCTATTATCTTCTGATTATTTTACAATCAGAAGGCAAGCGCCAAAAGCTGACCCTGCAAGGTTATTAGCGTGGCAGGAAGCTGGAAGGAAAAATCTTGAGATGACATATGTCAGGTCAGAGTTTGAAAATGGAAGTGACAGTGATGACCATACACGATCTGATCCTAGTGATGATGATGGATTTAATGTCGTAATAGCAGACAATTGTCAACGTGTGTTTGTTTATGGCCTTAAGCTTTTGTGGACTATTGAGAATAGAAATGCCGTTTGGTCATGGGTTGGTGGAATATCAAAGGCATTTGAGCCTCCAAAACCTTCTCCTTCTCGGCAGTATACACAAAGGAAATTGCTTGAGAAGCAGGTACCTGATGGAACTCAGATGCATCAAGATGATATCTCTAAGCCTTCAACGTCTATCAGCCAAACTGCAAATTCTCCTGCTCGACAGCATCTTGAGACTTTAGGGTCAGTCTCATCACCATCACATTCAATTAAAGTGGAAAGTTCAGTCTCTGTCCCAGTTGGTAAGTTGTATTCATAATTGGAATTTGGTTTTAGTTAGTTTAGGAATATGTTGATTTCTGCTACTTGTCATGTTCTACAGTTTTTTCATTTAATGATATCTTTACAATTACCATATAGTTTAACAGCACATTTAATAGCAGTGTCTCTAGTTGCTTTATGTCATGGTAGAATTTTTATTCAAAATAAAAGGGCAGATCTCTAGAAAACTTTTGTCATGGGCTATCTTTGTGACTTTTCAGCAGCCAAGAATGGAAACATTGATGACTCAGAGGAAGAGGGGACACGACATTTCATGGTGAATGTTATTCAACCTCAATTCAATCTTCACTCAGAAGAAGCTAATGTAAGTGCATTTATTTCCTGGAACATTGTGTTTTGAGACATTTTACAAACTATTTGTTTTCATTTAGTGAATAGGTGGGTATTAAGATTGGCTCTTTGGTGTGAATGCATTTATGACTCATGACTCTATAACATTTTGTTTTGCATCTTTTTATTTTTTTTAGCTGCATTTCCAAAACTGTTTCTGGTAAGTGAACTTTTCAGTACTTATGGTTTGTCTTCCATTAAAATTGGAAGTTGGCTTTCTTCTTTGATGAATGAAAGTAATGCTGCATTAATTAACAAAGGAAAAAAAACTGATACAAAGGAAGAAAAGAAACAGAAAAAGACGAAGGTGTTGAGGAAACATCTTATATGTGAAAAGGAAGCCACTAGGATCGAAAGACAAGTCTCTGTATTGCATCATCCAGAAGAACTAAAGCAATCCACATACCGCTCTAAAATGAAATTCTGTCCACATCTTAGAGGTACTGAAACACCAAACTAGGATAACAAATCCCATTTCAGCCTTAGTGTTTTAGAAGGTATGTGAGGCTTCCCTCAAGGTGAGGCCTTAGGAAAATACCGAGTCTCAACCTTGAGGCCCATACCCCAAAGTGAAAGGGATATGCTAAAATAAGGAGATCTCTTATGTTAAGAAAAAAAATATTTTATATATTAACTTTCGCATTAACTGTTTAAAGTATTTTGTATTTTTGTTTATATGTAAATAATCTGTTTAAGTATTTAGCATTTGTAACACTCTTTCATTTTCTTTAAAGATTTTAAACAGTCTTGAAGGATTTGTTAAATGCAATTAATTTTTCTTAAGATCTTAATATTTTATAGTTCTTACTATGATGATTAATTCAATTTTTTTTTTCAAAAGGAATAGCTTATAAAGTTGGTGATAGGCAGAGCTTGTCCTTTTGGAAGGACTCTTGGTGTGTGGACAGATGAGCTCTTCCCACATTTTTATTTACTGAGAACAGGAAGGCAACTGTTATTGATTATTGCTTTACTCGTTGGAGCCATACTGGAAAGTGTGATGGAGCTGCTGCAGATGTCGAAGTTGAGTCCATAAGGCCAAAGTGATGAGTGGTGCTGGAGAGGGAGTAGCAATGGGGATTTCACAGTTAAATTGTTGGCTGAAAATTTGAGACAAGCTGGTTAGACTTCCCCTACAAGTTGATTTGGAAATCCAATGCACCTTCAAAGGTGGGGTTCCTTCTTTGGGATACTGTGTTAGGGAAATGTCTCACTAAGGAAGCTTTGCCAAGGAGGGGGCTGCAGAGTCAATTGATCACCTTTGTATTCATTGCCCAGTGGCTGCTGAAATTTGGCCCCACTTCATTGGGGCTGCAGGTCTGACTTCTGAGTTGGGTGATGCCTGGTCTGTTGTATGCTTGGGTTCTCCCTGGGCTGAGCAGAATAGGGAAATATATATGAAAATCCATTTCAGCAGCTATTATGGAGAATTTGGGCAGAAAGAATAGAAGGCTGTTTAATGGCAAGTACAGAGACACAGATGATCTAATCAGAATACCTGTGGGAAAAATTGGTTCCTCAATTTCAGTTGTAAGGAGTTCAGCAATTGGAGCCTGTCCTGTTGATGATGAATTCAAGGAATTTGTGGGGTATCTGAATTGTATTTTTTTTTTTTTTGGGGGGGGGGAGGGATCTGTTATACTATATAGTTCATTTACATTCTTCTCACATAAAAGTATTTTTGTTCTCTGCATACTTAACTTTTTTTATGAGTATCCTTCTCTGCATGTTTCTACAAATAATCTCATTTTAGATATTTTTTTTTTCCTTTATAAGAGAGATCTCTTGAGGCATAGGCCTCACACATCTGAAGATCCTAGTTTTCCTTTCACCTCCGTCTTTTTAAAATGTTGGTTGGCATATATCTGTATGAGAGCCTTCCCTTGTCATCAAAGATTTCCTCATTCCTTTTCTCTCTAAATTTCCTGATACCAGGCAAGATGGATGCTATTTATTTTGCATGATGATGTATCCTACTATACTGCAGTGAGTGACTTTGTTCCTTAATCTTATCTACTGCAGTTTTTAATTCTCTGTTATGTGTCCATTAAATTAAATGGTTTCTTTGTCACTCCAAGTTTTCCTGTGAAATTTCACAAAAATTTCTCATTTCTAAGGATGAAAATTTTCTTGAATTGAAATCGCAAACCTTGATGCATTGTGGAGGCCTGGAGGGGAATCCCCTATTATGCCACCGAGCCTCTCTCTTTCTCTCTCTCTCTCTCTCAATCCATTACCATGCCTCATCTCTTGGTAGTTATCCTATTTCTTCATAATGTTCTTGTAGCCTTTCTTGGAATATTGGGTTTTGGAGAAGTTATCATGAGTTTGAAAGTGAGAAGGCCATAAAACTCCTATATTGCTTTTAGGTGGCTGTTGCCTGTAATAAATTGTTAATGTCCTATATTGCTTTTAGTTAGCATCATTCCTGCTATAAGGTGTTGTGGATGGTTCCTTTTCCACACTATTCATCATCATCATCGTCATCTAAGCCTTGTCCCAACCATATGGGGTTGGCTACATGAATTCTGTTCCATTCTTCCATTCTATTCGGTGCCACATCCATTGTTAAGCTACAGTCCCTTAAATCATTTCTCACTGCTTCAACCCATGTCTTTTTTGATCTGCCCCTAGCTCTTCTAGTCTGTTGTATAGATCACTTCTTACTGGTGCTGTAGATGGTCTTTTCTGCATGTGTCCAATAAATCTTAGTCTGCTTTTCATCATTGTAGGACCTATTGCAGCATTTCACGGTTCAAATAAGTTCATTTTTGATCCTGTCCTTTGTAGTTTTCTCACTCATCTGTCTCAACATCTGCATTTCTTTCACACTCATTTCTGGACATGTTTTTGACTGCCCAACACTCTGCTCCATACAACATTCCTGCTCCACACAGTAAAATCTGGCCCAGATGCTGAACTATGTTTTTTCCTTGATAAGTAGGCTGAACTGCTTTTTGCTCTGGGTCAATGGGTGAGCTGACTCCTTAACTAGAGGAGGTATTATAACTTGGGAGTTGTTTTATGGCTTGATCTTTCTGGAG